CTGGGCACTGCCCCCAGCGCCAGCACGAGGAATGCCAGGAACACCCAGGACCCCCGACTCTGCTGGGGGTGGCCACAGCTTGTGACATCACGAGTCTGTCATTGGGTGAGGCCCCCCGCACGCACCAAAGGGCTCTTTCTCTGCCCCTAAGTCTACAGAAACAGCCCAGAGGCCTGGGCTGCACCTTCCTCTGCAGGGCTGGCCTTGGGCGGGACACAGGAATGATTTTTCTTCCTCCAAAATCTGTCTTCTTGGGGCTGGAGTGACAGCACCGCGGGTAGGGCGTTTGCCTTGCACGCGGCCGACCAGAGTTTGAGTCCCAGCATCCCATATGGTCCCCTGAGCACCGCCAGGGTAATTCCTGAGTGCATGAGCCAGGAGTAACTCCTGTGCATCGCTGGGTGTGACCCAAAAGCAAAAAATAAATAAATAAATAATCTGTCTTCTTGCTTCAGGAGCCTAATCCTACACCCGCAAACAATTCTATGAACACCAGATAAACGTTTCATAAAATCAGATGATTGATATCAAAAGAGTCGCATTGGGGCCAGAATGACAGAACAGCGAGTAGGGCGTTTGCCTTGCACGCGGCTGACCAGGGTTCGATCCCTGACACCCCATATAGTCCCCCAAGCACCGGCAGGAGTAATTCCTGAGGAACCCCTGAGCATCACTGGGTGTGACCCAAGAAGCAAAAAAAAAAAAAAATCAAGAGAGTCGTATTAATGTACACAGCTGGTGTAAAATCTGTCACGCACACCCAACTCTTAGAACTACGCGCAGGTCGGGTACACCCCTGGCTGTGCTCTGGGTCTACACCCAGCTCAGGACTCCGGGTCGCTCCCAACAGTGCTCGGGACTTGGCAGTGCTGGGGAGCAAGCTAGGATCTCCCAGGCGAAAGTGAGCCAACTTCCCGACCCTGCAGCCAGGTGGAGAGAGACCCCGAGTCACAGGGGGGTCCAACCCTCTCTCCAGGGAGCTGACAGTGTGAAATGCACGCACGAGACAGAACATTGGGGGGGACCAGCTCAAGATGACGACATTTGGGGGGAATCACACCCAAATGTGCTCAGGGCCCCCTCAGGGAGCACTCCCAGCGGGAGTCAGGGGCTCATGCGGTACCCAGGGCTCAAACCCGGATTGGCCCAGACTACTCCCGCCCAAGCAATGGAAACGCAGCAACTCGGGCAGAGAGCGCAGAACCAAAACCCCAGCAAGGTCCAGACCCAGGGCATCCGGTCAGCCTGAGGTGCCCCTGGGGGGATGTTTTCAGAGCTGAACCCCAGCGAGGCTGGCCACGGAGAGTGAATCACCAAGCGGCAGGGCCCGGGCGGATGCCACCAACGACACCTTTCAAGGAGACGGATTTTTCTGCTACTTGAGAACAAACGCCTTGGAATTTAGCCTCCATCAGGGACAGGACACGTGCTCCCAGGCTCACCTCTGTGGTGCTCCCTCCACCTATACACAGGCAGTCACACATATATCTACATGTGTATGTACACACACACACACACACACACACACACACACACACACATCCCCAGCCCAGACAAGGCCAAACTTGCCCTAAGTCCAGCTCCACAGGGTGCCGGCACCACTTCCAGAATCCCAGAGTTGCCTGTACGAAGCTGTTATTTACATGGAAGTGTCTGTGGCTTGGCATTCAGACAGACACGTTTATCGCCTCATCTCCTGTGCTGCAAATTCACGGCACAAAGTCACTCATGGAGCAATTCATGGAGACGAGACATCTTCACACATCCCGTCTCCCTAAAGAAGAGGGTCTGCCGGCCCCCCAAAGCGCAAGCCTGCAGCCGGACCACCCACTCCGGGGAGGCGACACTCCTGCCTGGCCCCCCCACATCACCGTCATTTATTTTTAAATGGAACTTGGTTTTCCAAGACCAAAGCTGACCACTCCCCCCAACCCTGGCTTTTCCCCTAACCCCAGTGGTGGGGGAAGGTGACGTCTGCACGCTTCTGACCACCGGCCCGTCCACCTACGAGCCCTGAGTCCCCAGACATCTTTAAGCTTGGCCCAGTGCACCGTCCTCCAAGTAACTGACCTAATGCCAGGGCCCCAAGTAGGCACGGGAAACCGATGGCCGGGGACCAACCAGCACTGTCCTGCTCCACTCCACAGCGCCTGGGCCAGCAACTCTCCTGGCCATCAGCCAGTGTGCATCTCCAGCGCAAACACCCTCGTGGCCAGGACTCCAGACGCACAGCACCCAGCACCACTCAACGGCCAGCGAGAGACTCCCCTAAACAGGCTGGAGCGATGATACACAGCAGGTATGTGCTTGCCGTGCATCAGCCAACTGGGGTTCAATCCCTGACACCCTATAAGTGCCCTCCCCAGGAGCTCGTCTGCCAGCACAGATGTGGCCCCCCCACCACCAAAAAACAAAAAACAAACAAAACACTCAGTTTATGTGGACCCCACTTCTCCCTTCTCCACCTGAGCTGGGGCTGGGGGGTACCCTCCGACCCCCCAGCAGTTCCTCCGGGACCGGAAGGTGCAGCCCGGAATCCACCAGCCGGTCCAGGCCACGGGGCCCAGAACCACCCGACTCTTCCTTCGCTCCAACTCAGCCAAGTCCAGGCAACTCCTTCCTTCCCGGGCCGCCCCCTCGGTGTCCGCGGGGAGCCAGGCCCGGCGCAGACGAGGCCGCTTTCTTTATTAGCATGCGCCAGCACGGCCGGCCCCCTCCCCTCCTCTTTTTTTACGAGCCCTTGTTACATAAAATGCCACAAAGGACTCACAAGCCGGGCGGAACAGGGCAAGTGCCGGCCCGCCAGCCCCGCCGGCTTCCCGGCGGTTATTGTTAAGTCATTTCAGAGAGAAACGTTTTTTAAAAGGTCGGGGAACACAAGTTTCCCCTCGGTCTTTCTTTCCTTCCCTTACAAACACAAGACGGCAGACGGGGGGTGCAACTGGGCCCCCCTTCCTCGGCCCGGGATCCAATTTAAAAGGCAGCGCTTCTGGGCGAGAGCTCCAAAGAGAGAGAAAACCAGGTTTTTTGTTGTTTGTTTGTTTTTTTTTAAGTGTTTTTCTCCGCCTCAAGGACATTCCGGCAGGACAGATAATAAACCGCGACTCACTGACCACCAGCATCAAAATTCAAATAGCCTTGAAACAGTTACAAGCAGACCGGAAGCAACCTCCGCCGCTCCCGCAAATAATTGTGAAACTGTTGCCAGAGCGCAGGGCGACAGAAATACATTGTCGCCAACAAGGCGCAGCCTCCCCGAGCCGCGCTCCCCGCAATCTGCCGCGGCAGACAAGGGCGTCGCGACCCTCGGCGCCCACCCGCGCGGGGGAGGAGGGGGGGAGGGGTGCTTCGTCGCCGGCCCCCCGGAACGCGGGTGTGCGCGGCGCTTTTTGTGGCCGGCTGTGCCGCTCGGGGCCTTTGCGTCTTGGAAGAAAGTACTGGATCGGCGGCGGCTTCTGGGACGAAGCATCTTTGTGCTCGCGCAGAGGGTCCGCCAGCCCCTCCCCCTCCAAAAAAAAAAAACGGCGTCAAAGCAATCAAAATGGTAATATGCCGGCGGGTCCCCTCCCCCGCGCGCGGCCCCCTCCGGCGGGAATGGAAGCTTCCACTCGCGCATGGGGGGCGCGCGCCGCGGGCCGGGGGTCCGCGGGGGTCGGTGGGGGTCGGCGCGGCGCTACCCGGGCCTCCCGGGGATCCCTCTCCCCCACCCCGGCCGGGCACGGCCGCCTCCCGCCACTTTCTAACTTTAGAAGACTTGAAAGAGAATGAAGATGTGTGTGTGTGGGGGGGGTCCTCGGGGTGCCGGGCTTTCCCGCCCCGCCCCCAACACTGACACTCCGACAAATTCCTGCAGGGAGGCGGCGCGGGGTCTTTGGAGCAGGAGTTTTGGGGGTTCTTTGGGGCGGTGGGTGCGTGGCGGGTGAAGGGCAGACCTGAAGCCCGGCCCTGGGGTGCGGGGCGCTGCGGGGGGGAGTGCGCCCTCGCCAACTTTGGTACCCACGGCGGCGGCATTCCGGAGCAAGCGCGATGGATGGATGGATGGATGGATGGATGGATGGATGGACTGACGAGCGAGAGGGGCGCGGGGGGCGGGGCCGAGGGAGGGGGCGCCCCGTCCCCCCCCCCGGCGCCCCCGTGGCCCCCCAGCAAGCCATTGGCCGCGCCGCCCGAAGTTCTCGGCTGGGGAAGGGGCGGGCGCGCGTGCGGGCGCGGTGGGGGGAGCGCCCGGGGGGGAGGGGCGGGGGGAGGGGCGAGGGCGGGGGAGGGGCCGGGGCCGCGCTCGGGCCGCGGCATCTGTTCGTGGTGCTGAAACCCCGGGCGCTGAGCTCAGCGCAACTAAGTCACAATGGACAACTTTTCCTCCCCGCCACCTCGGGGGAGGCCGGGACTGGGGGGTTGGGGGGGAGAAGGCAGTCGTGGCCCCCGCCCGAGAGGGGCTCCCCGCGCGGCGCGACGCCGACACCTCGGGTCCGGAGACCAAAGTTCGGGCAGGCCGAGGCTGGGGGTCCCGGGGGCGCCTTTCTTTTGTTCCCCCGGAGCTGCTGTCCCCCGGGCCCCGGGAAGCAAGAGTGACGAGGGAGGGGAGAGGGGCGCAGGGGCGCGCTGCAGAGGGGCTGCGCCGAGCGCGGGACTCGCTCCCCCGGAGCTCGGGGACCCCTGCCGCACCCCCAGCCGCGGGGCGCCCGGCCCGGTGCAGGGTGCCCGTCCCAAAATCAGGTCCACCACCTCCAAAAGGACGCCGGGCTCCGGGTGGCCTTTTAAGGGCAGCCTCGACCGAGAGCGGCTGCGGGGGGCCCGAGGGGCCCCCTCGGCCTCAGCCCCCCTCGGCCTCGGAGCAGCGGCTCTTTCTCTCCAGGAAAGAAAGGGGTGCGGGTAACTTGGAGGTTCCGGGGAGCCGGTGCGCGCCGCCCGCCCAGGCCGGCACTTCTGAGGGTGCTGCTAAAGTACCCGGCGACCTTCCCCCCAAGCCGGGTTTGGGGGCGCAGCTCCGGCCCGCTTACTTGTTTGTCGCTGAGCGCCGCGATCCGGGGCTGCCGTTCGTGGAGCTTGCTGAGGTCTCCGTTCTGCGGACAACACGGGGGGAGCCGGCTCAGGGCGCGGGGGAGGGGAGGGGAGGGCGAGCGCACCCCGGAGCCCCGGCGCCCCCCGCGCCCGGCTGCCCTGCGCCCCCAAGTTCCCGGGCCGCGTCCCGCGCGCGCCGCCGGGCCGCTTACCTGTGGCTGCCGCCGCATCGGGGCAGCTCGCGGGGCGGGGCGGGGGCCGAGGCCACCCGGCGGCGCGCCCCGAGCCGTGCAAGTTTGCAGGCCGGGGTGCGTGTGCGAGGAGTGTGAATGTGTGCAGGGGGAGGGGGGAGGAACAAAGAGCCAAGTAAACACGGCGAGTCCGTGTAGAGCAAAGCTCATAAATATTCAAGTCGCGTCCTAATCTCCCAACACACACACACACGCGCGCACACACGCGCACACACGCGCGCACACACGCGCGCGCGCGCGCACCCTGCAACCCCGCTCGGCGCCCGAGCAACAATCGCCAAAAGTACTTTTGCAAAGTGTGCAGGTCTGCGCGGGGCGGGGGGCCGGGGCGCGCGCCGGGCAGCCTCGGGCAGGGGCCCCCTCCGGGCGCCCCTCACCCCCGTGAGGACCAGAAGGCGCCCCGCTTGGGTCCCGCAGCCCACCAGGGACGCACCCCCCCAAAAATAAAAACTGGACGGGACTGCCCGGGGGTGGGTGGGTGGCCAGCCCAGGGAGAGGGCCTCTGCGTGTCCATCCTCCCCGCGCCCCCGGAGAGGTGGGAGACCCTGCCCAGAGGCAGGGGTCTCGGGGCTCTCGCGTCCGTCCGGGACCCCCGCCGCGCGCCTACCTGGGGGCGCGCCAGCTCCAGGGCGAGCGCCTCGGGCCGGCTCTGCAGCTCCATCCCGCCACTTGGCCGCACTTGCGCTCACTTTGGCCGCGGCCCCGGCGGGGACAGGGGCAGGGGGCTGGCGGGGCCACGCACGCGCGCCCACTCCCCAGCCCGGGGCCGGCGCGCGGGGGGACCCCAACTCCTCAAGCCGCCCGGCAAGTTGCGCCGGGTGCCCGGGCTGCGGGCGCGGCCCGGCGCATGGCCCCCCGCCCGGCGCCGGGAGCCCCCCGCCGCCCCCCGCGCGCGCCCCGCCGCCAGGGACTATATTTCCACCGGCGCGCGCCTGGATCTCGCTGGGCCGCGGCAAAGTTGTGCCTCGGCGCCGGGCGAATTCGGCAGTGCCCGGATGGAGCGGGCCGGGGGCGGGGCCGGCTCGGGCCACGCCCCCGCCCGGCCACGCCCCCGCCCGGCCCGCGCGTGCGCGCTGCCACCCCGCCGCGGCCCGGGGCCCGGGAGCCGAGAACAAAGTGGCTGCAAAGCGGGTCCCCCCGGCTTGGCTGGGGCAGCTGCTCCCCCAAAGCTCCCGGGCCCGGCCCGAGCCATAGCACGGCGGGGAGGGCGTTGGCCTTGCACGCGGCCGACCCGGGTTCGATTCCCAGCGTCCCATAGGGTCCCCCAGGCTCCCGCCAGGAGTCATTCCTGAGCGCAGAACTAGGAGGAACCCCCAAAAATAAAACGCAAAACTCAAAATGCACAAAATGCTCAGTGCTCCGAGCCACTCATTCAGAGACCAAACCCAAGGAACACGGTGTGTGTGTGTGTGTGTGTGTTGGGGGGGGCATTCCCCCCCTGTGGGGCTGGAATTTGTGAATGAAAGAAAGGAAAATATAAGGGATGTATGAAAAATGTGTGGAATGAAAAATGTCCTTTCTCATGGGGCCCCTGGCCCCCTGCTCTGGACTCCTGGTCACCAGCTGGTACCCCCAGAGCCTGACAGACACCACATGAAAATAGCATGCAAATTCATCTCTGGACTGTGCCCCGAATTAATTTTTATTTTCAACCTTTGCCACTAAAACTCTCAACACATGTTCCTGTACTTTCTTTTTTTTGGGGGGGGGAGGTCACACCCGGAGATGCACAGGGGTTACTCCTGGCTCACGCACTCAGGAATTACTCCTGGCGGGGGATCATGTGGGATGCCGAGAATCCAACCCAGGTCAGCCCCGTGCAAGGCAAACGCCCTCCCCTCTGTACTATCACTCCAGCCCCACCATTAAACTTTCAAACTACTGGTTCGAATCGTCATTGTCGGGCTCCATGTGAACCTTCTGTGAGGGCGACTCTGGCTAGCCTGTCCTGCTGCACAAGTCCCAGCCCCGGTTGCCACGGGATGAAGGTTTGAGTGAATAAATTTTCCCGTCCTGGGCTGGAGTGATAGCACAGCGGGTAGGGCGTTTGCCTTGCACACGGCCGACCCAGGTTCGATTCCCAGCATCCCATAGGGTCCCCCGAGCACCGCCAGGAGTCATTCCTGAGTGCAGAGCCGGGAGGAACCCCTTTGCATCACCAGATGTGATCCCAAAAAGCAAAATTAATAAATAAGTAAATCTTCCCGTCCTTGGCTCATTTCGGGGTTCCTGGTGCCCTGTTCACTGCAGCCTGGAAATGACGAAGAGCAAAGGTGTTGTTCTACTGCAAGTTAAACACTGAACTAATTTCGTATTCCTCCATGGCTCAGATAATTCACCCCCGGACTCGGCAGAGGCCGCTGGACATCAGCCAACAGACCATGTGCTGCTTCTAAGGTCAGCAGGAATTATTGGATTTTATTTTCAGGTCAGGACCCCAGTGTTCCTCTGACAGCAATCGGGATATTTGCCATCACGGATGATGTGTTTGTGGAGACCCCAAACAATGAGGGTCAGTCATCCTAACCCTCGGTGCTTGTCCTTATGCACCCCGTGAGGTGAGGACTTTGGCTGCTCAGAAATGAGAAATGCTTTCCGTCGCCCTGGGAGCACCAGGAGCCCAACTTGGTGCCGCTTAAGATCTCTGAGTCGGGGGCTAGAGCGATAGCACAGCAGGGAGGGCGTTTGCCTTGCACGCGGCCTCCCCAGCTTCGATTCCCAACATCCCATAGGGTCCTCCGAGCACTGCCAGGAGTGATTCCTGAGTGCAGAGCCAGGAGGAACCCCTGAGCATCGCTGGGTGGGATCCAAAAAGGAAGAAAAAAGATTTAAATGGGGAACGGGGGGGCTGGAGTGATAGCACAGTGGGTAGGGCGTTTGCCTTGCACACAGCCGACCCGGGTTCGATTCCCAGCATCCCATATGGTCCCCTGAGCACCGCCAGGAGTAACCCCTGTGCATCGCCAAGTGTGACCCAAAAAGCAAAAAAAAAGATGGGGAACAGGAAGCACAAAGACAAAGAGAACAGGAAAATGTGAAAGAAATTAGATTTAAAAAAAAAAGCTGAGGTTGATCCCAGGGAATGGTTGAAGATCTGACCCTCTCACACTTATTCCAAGACCTCTGAGTCGGGGTTCCTGGGTCCTTCCCCGTCAGACCCCTTGGGGAGCTGGGTCCCCCCCACTTGCTGGGATCCTGCATCTTGGCCAAGGTCCCTCAGTGCCCACTGGCCCAGGATGCAAGGAAGGGAGTTTGCAAAACCCTCAAGCAGAAGCCGGCAAGTGCCTGCCCACCCGTCCCCCCACAGAGCCCAACTGTCTGGGCGCCTGCGAGGAGAACATTGGGGAGAACAGGACATTTCTCGGTGGGTGTCCGAGGAACGTGCCGGCCCCTGCCGCCAGCCGCACCTCCCCAGCCGCCTCCTCCTGGGCTGCAGCTGCTCCTGCCCGGGCATCTCGCAGGTCTCCCTGACCCGAGGTGCTGAGAAGGGAGCAGAACGCTCTGCTATGCCTGGGGGCCACTTCCCCAGCGGGTGGCATGTGCCTCCTCCTCGGCCACTCGCTGTCCACTGTTGCTCTGCAGCAGAGCCCACAGCGAGCGGGGCCAGCGCGTGGGGCTGCCCAGGGAGGGAAGCGAGTGGGCTCTGGGCTGGGCTGTCCAGGAGGGCCACCTGCGGAGAGTCTTGATCTGATCTGATCGTCACTTTCAAAAAATTCGTTTTCTTGGGGGCTGGAAAGATAGCACAGCGGGGAGGGCATCAGCCTTGCATGCGGCCGACCCGGGTTCGATTCCCAGCATCCCATAGGGTCCCCTGAGCACCGCCAGGAGTAACTCCTGAGTGCAGAGCCAGGAGGAACCCCTGAGCATTGCCGGGTGTGACCCAAAAAGCAAAAAAAAAATTTGTTTTCTGGGCACACATGGTGGCGCCCAGGGGCCACGCTTGGCGGTGGTCATGGGCCACACCTGGCAGTGCCACCATCTGTACCGTTAATGCGGCTGCATCAGCCACACACAAAGCCAGTGCTTCAGCCTCTGTAGTTGAGCCCTGATGGTCTCATGGGCCACCTGAGGGGGGCAGAGCCCCCAGGACCCCCCAACCGGGATCCCAGGATCGCAGGGCAGTGAGTGGGGGTGAGTCCCGCCCTTGAGGGGGGCGGTTGCAGACCCCAGGCACGTCTTTGTCCCCTCTGCTGGAGAGAACATCCAGAAGCTTCCTGGGATCCCCCCTCCACTCCACCCCGACTTTTCTGGGTAGACCCCCTCCCCCGCCACCACCACACACGCACGGGCTCTGCGGGTCTCGGGAACTGAGGCACAGCGGTTGAAATGAACAATCCCGGGCCGCTGACACGTCAATAGTTTCATATGCTGAAGCGCATTAAAAATGCATTAGGACTTTACATACAAGTGGTACAATATGGAAAGTATCATGCTAAGCGAAATGAGTCAGAAAGAGAGGGATAGACATAGAAAGATTGCATTCATCTGGGGGATATAAAGTAACAAAGTATGAGATTAGTACCCAAGAATAGCTGAGATCAGCACCAGGAGGATTACTCCATAACTTAGAGGCCAGCCGGGTATCCTAGAGGAAAGGGCAGCTCAGATAGAGAAGGGAGCACCAAATAAAGGGTGTTTGGAGGATCCTCCCAGGAGGGGAGATGCATGTCGAAAGTAGACTATGGACTGAACATGTTTGCCACTCAATGCCTCTTTTGCAGACCACAACACCCAAAAGGAGAGAGAGAACACGGGATTGCCCTGCCACAGAGACAGGGGGGATGGGGGGATGGGGGTGGGAGGGATATTATCCATGGTGGTGGAAAATGGGCACTGGTGGAGGGATGGGTATCTGATCATTGTATGATTGAAACCAAAGCACAAAAAATTGTAAATCTACAACTTTAAAAAAATAAAATAAAATAAAGGGAAAAAAATGCATTAGGAAGGCTGCCTGTTTAAAGGACCCCGCGGGGCCCAGCTTCCGGCCAGGAGTGCCTCTCCTCAGGGGAACACCCCCCCACCCCCCGCGCTCACTGCTCCGTGGGGCCTCGCCTGCGCCCTGTCACCTTGGGCCTCTCTGTGCTATTCCGGGAGGCCCATAGGCCCAGCGTGCTCGGCCCGCACCATCTTTTTTTTGGGGGGGGGGAAGGGTCACACCCGGCGATACTCAGGGGTTCCTCCTGGCTCTGTGCTCAGGAGTCACTCGTGGTGGTGCTCAGGGGACCCTATGGGATGCTGGGAATCGAACCCGGGTCGGCCGTGTGCAAGGCAAACGCCCTCCCCGCTGTGCTATCGCTCCAGCCCCTGCCGGCACCATCTCTCTGGCTGACTGGACGCGGCCAGCGATGGTGTGCCTGATGGCCAGCTCCCCCCCACCCTGGCTCCCTCACACGCTTTCATTTGCCTCAGTTTCCCCTCCACACCATTTCTCATGGAGTCCATGCTGTGCGTTTGGGCCTGCAGGCCTGTGCTGTCTCCGTACTGTGGGGGCGGAGGGGTGGCTCGTGTGACCTGCCCCCACCCTGTGGCTTTCAAACAACTTCTTTTTGGGAGGAGGGAGAATGAGAGAGGAGGGCATTTGCCTTGCCTGCAGCCGACCCAGGTTCCATCCCCAGTTCCCCTGGGCCTTGTCGGGCGTGATCCCTGAGCACTGAGCCAGGAGTTAAGATCTGAGCACTGCTGGGTATGACCCAAAATCAAAACCAAAAACTTTTTTAAAAATTTCATTGCTCTGGGGCTGGAGAGATAGCACAGCGGGTAGGGCGTTTGCCTTGCACATGGCCGACCCGGGTTCGATTCCCAGCGTCCCATGTGGTCCCCTGAGCACCGCCAGGGGTGATTCCTGAG